GAACTAACAGCTTACTACAGTAATTTATGCCAAAATTTTAAAATTTAAAAAATTCACTGGACAAAAAAATGAAATAATGCCTAAATTTTTTTACGAAATATTTTGTAAAACAAAAAAATAAAGATTTAACTTTGTTTGTTATTGCTAACCATTCTAGTCACCAGACCATTGATTTCCTGCTTGATTACCATCTATTTACGCCCTCTACAAGACATAAGAAAGTTATTTCCAAATATAGCTCGGAGATATCTCCGCCGGCCTAAAAATAAAACACTTCCTAGTTTGCATCTAAATATGTGGTAATATACACCTCCAACAGTGGTCATTAGCTTACTAGTCGCTTCATTACAAGGCCATAAAGGCAAAGATGCCACCAGACCGTGGTGATCATGCTGATGGCAATGCTGATGTCGCAGGCAAATATTTTGATCGGCACTTGTAATTTGATGCGCAATAAATCGGCGTTTCCCACCTACAAATAGAAACAGAGGCGGGTGAAAATACACACATTTCGAATATACAAGGTATAACGAAAATAACAAAAAGCGAAGAAGTTAGAGCCAAACATTTTCATTAACCGGACAACGCATGACACCCACAACTTCGATGCTGTTTGCATGCTCATAAGAAGCGGGCTCATAATTCATTGAGCCAATAGCTCCGAAAGCATTGGCAGCTGCTCTGGGCCAAGATGCCTAAAAAAATGCCTAAAACGCTGAATGAAATATTCGGGGCTTTGCCTTAGCAATTTTCGCACAAGTGCGAAGTGCCACAGCCAACGACACCGGATTATAAAATCTCTTCTCGCTTATAAATACCCCACTAACCGAAAACCCCAAGTCCGATAACCGAAAAAATCTCGAGCTGACGAATGTCGCGCTGTGACTCTTTATGATATTTAACTCAAATTTGCAGTCTGACATGCATTCCTCCTCTAATTAGTGAACTCTGATTACTGACATGGGAACTTCGCTCGAAACTTATTGGCAGTAAAGGTAATTAGCACCGAAAGCAAATATATGGAACAGGTGGCCAATGGTTTGGTGATTATAACTAAATCTAACGAGATTTTTGCATACTTTTTATAAGGATGTGAAAAGAAGAGAAAAGTGATGAAAGATAAAGTGCGAAGTGCTATGGAATTTGAGATCTATCCGGATTTAAGAAAAACCCACAAGATTATAGAGAAATAGTTTCGGTTTCGCAGAATTCATTAAGATCAATTTGCATATTCTGCATAATTTAAGATGTATTTTTAAACACTGAATAAAATGAGATATTATATTAATAAAATATAACATGATTAGAAATTGTAATAGGTTGGTGACTTTCACTATTCACCCTTCTTAACCCAATGATAACGATGATCTTTCAGCATCGTAGACCGCCCCCACCTGGCAAACTAATCAACTCAGCTTGAAGTGCAACTGCATGTAGCATCTGGCCATCCAGTTAGCCAAGTTAACCAAGTTCAGGAGCCAATGGCCATTGGCCATATGAATGGCAATCGGCTGGCCGTCTTTGCGGGGCAATCAAGTGAGAAAATTAAAATTACATGACCATGGTTTCGACTGGGGATCCTGGGATCCCACATTTAAAGGTTCATAACTTCCAAGTCAATTACGCGTTGCGCCCGCTGCGAGACTCTCGGCTGGATCTGGATACTGGATTCTGGGCTGTGGATTCTGGGATTCCTGGGATGTGAATTAGAAAAATTGCACGCTCAAGTGGAAGAGAGGACCTCTGGTCTGGTTTTGGTCCAGTCCGTTCTGTTCTGTCTGACTGACTGACATAACTCACGAGTGGCAGACGCAGATACTGATGCAAACAAACACAGATACGGCCTCCGCATTTAACCGCTGCTCCGTTGCAGGTGAACTAGACAAGCAGGAGCAGATCCTCAAGAGCACTCCACAAATAAAAGGGACTACTGTGGGAATCATTCCGATCTGGCCAGAACCGAACAAGACCAGCACAACCCAGCACAGGCTCGCCATCAGCGAATTAATTTGTGACGCGCGCTCTCCACGGAGCACCGCCGATATTCCCTTCTGGTCTGAAATACCCAGGGACTCCATACCCCATACCTTATACCCATCTTCATTTGCAGCCATCCCAGTCCAGTTCCAGGTTCCCAGTTGCAGTCGAGGAGCCATGGCCTGGAGGCAATTTACTCTTTTCGCTCGGTGGTGCACGCTGTGGTAGCCAAACTCGTGACTGCAACAATGCACAGTGTATTGGATTTAATAAGATCTGGTTTAATACGATCTTCTAAACACAAAGTTTATTTAAAATACCCCCTTACAAATGTAAAATTGCTTTATATAAAACTACAGACACTCTTAGCAGTTAAGAAACATATGGTCACACTTTAATTAAATCAAAAAATGTTAAATCATAAATAAAGCAAAGAAGGTGACATCAAAAATGGCTTTCAAAAAAGGTAAAGGATATTTTTGCGAAGCAGGATGAAAAACTAATAAAATGTATTTAAACATATTTTTTAAACTGAAAGAAAACTTATTCAGAATATATAATATAATAGATAAAAATAATCATAACTTAAATATAAACTTAATTATTTTAGAATCTATAGATCAAAAAGATAAGAAGATAGATATACTTTTTTGAGATAAATTTATAAATTAAAGGGTAATTATAAAGTAAATTTTTTACCAATTTCCTTGTGTTTCTTAACCACTGTGCATCAACTTGCTCGTCTTCGTCATCGTCGTGTGGCAAGTGGCTGCTGCTTGACTGCAGTTGCAGTTTTGGCCTCTGCTCGAGCTTCATCTGCTTGAGCTTCGTTCTGCAGCTCCCTCTTCTGGGCCTCAGTCTTCTGGACCCCCGTCTTCTGGACCCTCTTCTTCAACTCTCTCGCCTTTTTGGGGCATCATCTTGGCGGCTTTGGCGCTGGTGTCAAACGTTTTGTAATCTGTCACGTCGCATCGTTTTAATATTTGTGCGCTCATGGCCCAAGTACGAGGAAATGCACTCGGCTGCGTGTAAAAATAGGCGTAACCCTTTGGTATTTATGGTCTGGCCGGCTGGATGAGCCGACTTTACCGACTTTACAGACTTGGCCGTCTCTAGAGTCTGCACTGGAGCACAGTGAAGCATCCGCGACGGCGCTCCCCGATCGTTTTGTTTGGTTTTCAGCAGCAGAATCAGATGCCTTTGGGGTCCTTCGTTGGTAGCAACAGGTTCAAGTGCTTCGCATTGCAGTTGGTCTGCCGCTTTGGGCCCCAGCTCCTTGGTTTCTGCCACTCTTTGATTATCTAAATCATTATTAGTTTGACCTTCAGCCCCCGGCTGGATTTGCGCTCGTGCAAGTGCTTTTCTTATCTTATTAATTATTTGCTCTTTATTGCAAGTGGAATGGGTCGGTGGGACTACTGTGCGGATGAGTCATCTGAGAAATGCCGATGCGAGGAGTGGGTAAACGGAGAGAGGGTGATTATAAGAAAGTTACTGGAAGGAGAAAGGAAAAACTAATTGAAAAGATTTAAGGCCTCTTAATATGATAATGATTAGTAGAGGATATTCTAAGTAATATTAATAGTTGGAATTGAATGTTGAATAATAAGAGAAGGAAACTTTAATTAATCATTTCATTTTATTTTTATTTTTCTTTTTAAAGATCTTTTGTGGTTTTTGAGGTGATTATTATCTATTTATTTATGCTGTTCATAAAGTATTTAAACATTAACTAAAATGAAATAAAGAAATACAAAATATGCATTTTAGTTAGGTAAATAAAAAATACCTACAAAATACAAAAATTTGTTGGCTACCTTAATATTTTTGTAAAAACCCCCCTTTAATTCGAGTTATTTTATTTTGACGTGTATTTATACGGAACCAGAACGCCAGAGATGAACGCAAAAATAAACTGTCTGACAGCTGGTTGTTCTCAGAGATCCTTCACCTTGTTCCGTTATAATTAGCCGTCGCTAATTACCACTTTCGCGAAGACCGACCACCCGAACATTGACCCACTGAACGGGCTCAAAAGCGAAAAGCCCGGCTCATTCAAATTCGATTCCCACCAGATGGCCGTGGGCCATGGGCATGGGCATGGGCATTCAGCACGCATCTCAGCGCGTCAATTTGCCAACCCTACTCAAAAGCTATAACCACATCGGTCATGCGGATCCCAGAAGATACAGTAGTTAGCCATTACAATGTCTGACAACCGTTAATCAGGCGCCACAAATCAGAAGAGAGCAGGCATATGTGCATGTAGGGGGATTTCCCCCTGTTCTCTGATTGGATGGGCGCCAGAATGGATCTGCTATATTTAGATAGAGAGAAAATGGCGATGCAGACTTTGTGATTTTCCATTCACTCGCCGGTTTCGTGATGGCATCCGCTTCCCATGACTGCTCCTTTGTCTCTGCGCGAAAATATTGACACGATCGAGCCCCGATTTTGCACGCGCATGAGAATGGATAAGCTAAATACACTCGTAAATACCAGTAAATCATTATGTGTACCAGTAAAGTGCCCCAATTGCCGCCGAGGATGCGTGGGTGGGATCGTGTTGGGGTGTTAATTGCCCCAGACTCAATCAGGTGGAATGGAATATTTATGAGGTTGGGCAATCGATTAGACAAAGTCCATCCATGTATATTCATATCAATTGTCGGTGCTAATTGAGTTCGAGACTGCGAAAAGAACTGGACAAAGGCGGAAGTGATCGTGACTGAAACCGAAAATTGAGTATGAACAGATGTAAAAATATCTTCGTATGTGTAACATTATTTGGAGAATACATTATACCGCCAAAAAGTGAGAGATAAATTGGAGATATATTATATAAAGATATGCTCCAAGTTAAAAGTTTTAAGCAGATTACAAACTAATCATTATGATAAAACAATCCATAACTTATCATTCAATGCAATCAGATCTTCATCTATATACATCTTCGCTTTCAACCTATCTCTCTGTCAAACTATTCAACTTTCAAGTGTTTCTTTCCTCTATATATCTTTCAGATGATCTTTCAACAATCTGCAAAACCTCTGATCCTTCTGCTATCTATCTCATTTATGAGGACTCAAGGCCTTAACAGTATTATCAATGAGCTAAACAAACGCCTACTCATCTCTACCAACTTTTTGTTCTGCAACCAAACCGACAAACTTTATGAACACGAGATCAAATATCTCCGACACATGCCACTCATGAACCTGATGATCTTTAGCTCGATTGAATCCTTTAACGTCACCCAACTAAAATATAATTTGGGAGCTGAAAACAAACTCTTTATGATCTTAGGTAATAACAATCCGCCCTACGATTTCTTTAACGCTTTGGACTTAGAGTTTCAAGAATCTGAATATATTATGGTTATTGATGATCCCGTCTATTTGAAGGGGGACACCAACTGGTTGGTCTTTGTAAAGCACTTGTGGCGGCAAGGTTATGTGAATTTGCTTTTTTACACCTCCTTCGATGAGAAGCTCTATCACAAAATAATATTTCCCGAGACGGTGATAGAGGAGGCTTCCATAAAGCAGTACATATCCATTCGGGGATCGTTTAGGAACCTATATGGTTATCCGGTTCGCGTTGCCGCCTATAATAACGCACCGCGCTCCATGCTCTATGTGGATCGCTGGGGTAAGAAGGTATTATGCCGGGTTCTACATGAGATTCATTCGAGCCTTTATTGACTCACGGAACGGTAGCTTTGTGCCGATTCTCACGCCGAGCAATTCCCCCGGAAATTGCACATTGCACTTGCGCAATGAAACGGTGGATGTGTGTGCCGATGCCCTGGCAGCGAATCCTGCGGCCTTCAGTTTGACCCATGGATTCAGGATTGCCTCGGCGAATGTTTTGGTCTCCCATGCGAAGCCCCTGCACTCCTATCGATATCTCACAGCTCCGTTTCAATGGAGTGTGTGGTTCTGTTTGGCCGCCTACGTCGTCCTGGTGGTGAATTTCCTGAGCTTCATCCACTGGCTGAGGAGCGGAAAATGGGACTTTAGCAAGCACCTCCTCGAGGTCTTCAGCTCACTTTTATTCAGTGGCTTTTACCTGAAAGAGATTCACGGCAGAGAGAGATACATACTCTTCGGCGTGTTGTTCATAGCTGGATTTGTGTACTCCACCGAGTATCTGGGATTGCTCAAAAGTATGTTGATCTCGGAGGTGTTCGAAAAGCAAATTGACACCTTTGAGGCCTTGGTGGAGAGCAATATAACGCTGATGGTGGATCCGTACGATAAGTCGTTGTTCGCCAAGTACAACATGCCCAAGATACTGGAACCCATAATGGAGTTAGTCAGTTTTGAAACTCTGTTGGAGCACAGGAATCACTTTGATCAGGACTATGCTTACATACTGTTCTCGGATCGAATGGCCTTGTACGACTATGCACAGCAGTTTCTGAAGCACCCGAAACTTCTGAGGATTCCCATCGACTTTTCGTTCCTCTACACCGGCATACCGATGCGGAAGAGATGGTTCCTGAAGCACCATTTGGGACAGGCCTGGTATTGGGCCTTCGAAAGCGGTCTTACCAGGAAACTGGCCTTGGACGCCGACTTCGAGGCGGTTCGCGTGGGCTATCTTAACTTCCTCATCACGGAGCATGTGGAGGCCCAGCCGCTGGATGTGGATTATTTCGTCATGCCGGCAATTGCTCTCGCCCTCGGCTACATCCTGGCCCTCCTGAGTTTTGTCATCGAGATGACGGCCTGGCGCATGAGGGGATTCCTGAGATGCAAGATGAAGGCTGGGGACGAGTACCGGTTGCCCAGGAGGCGGTTATGTTGAAGTTGATTGAGTGACGGATTGATGTTGTGACGTCTGCTTTGCGTATTTTCTTACATTCTTGATGTTGTGAAGCCTTCACTAAAATTAAATTACTCCTCCTTGTGCGCTTACTCTGAAAATTAAAAAGGTTAGCAAAAAAATGTTTTTTAGATCACAAGGATTTAAAAATAAAGTAATGAGTTATGACAATCTAAACATAATTTAAAATATAAATTCATAGAATATTGCTAGCTGTTGTCTCTTTTTCTCTAGGTTGTCATGAGTTCTTAAAATTAGTCAAAAATCAAGATATACTAACTTTATAAGACCAGAAAAATCACAGAAACTTAGAACAAATACTAAAAAAAATTTAATTCATTTAATAGATTATAATTATCATTGTATTCCAAAAAACTATTATAAATTTTGTCTTCTTTATTTCAGATGATTTTTTATGCAAAATATTTAAAATGGATGCTTCTTGTAATCGCCTCAATGGTTTTAGTAACTGGACATAGTTTACCGAAAATCATAAACGAGCTTAACGAACGTCTTGTCATCTCCACGAATATTGTTTTCTGCGAGGACTTGGATAAATGTATCCCCTTCGAAAGCCCCATCTCCAGATTTTTGTACAGCTCCTTGGAAACTTTCAATATAACCACCTTCAGAAATCATGTGGGAAGTGATAATAAGCTTTTTATAATAATGGGAAATGATCCACCATACGAGATCTTGGAAAAACTTCAATTACACTTTCAAATGGCTGATTTTCTTCTAGTGATTGACAATGAAATCGAAGAAGATACATGGAAGGGTTTTATAAACTTTGCTTGGCGGCTGGGATATGTTAAAATCTTAATTCACTCCATATATAATGGAATTTCATATGATAAAATACTATTCCCCAAATTGAGGATTAGGGAAACTAACGTCAAGGACTATGCAGAATTTCGAAACTCCTTTCATAATGTCGATGGCTATAAAGTTCGAGTGGCTGTATACAACAATGTTCCGAGGAGCTTTATATATTTAGATGCCAGTGGGAACAGAATATATGCTGGATACTACATGCGATTTGCGCGAGCCTTTTTGGAATCTAGGAATGCTACTTTTCAACCAGTTCACACACCCAATGATTCACCCCAAAATTGCACTCAGTTTATTTTGAATAATACGGTGGATCTGTGCGCAGATGCTCTGGTTCGGAACTCGAATGTTTTTTCGGTCTCCAGAGAAATTCGAATTTCAGCTGCCAATGTTATTGTGCCCCATGCAAAACCGCTACTTTCTTATCGATATCTAACAGCTCCCTTTAAAACCAAAGTATGGTTTATTCTAGCCTTGTACGTTATCCTAATAGCCGGATTTTTGTGTCTGATACACTGGATGAAAAGCGGAAGTTGGGACTTTAGTCACACATTGCTCGAGGTTTTTAGCTCACTTTTATATAGTGGTTTTCATCTAAAGGCGATCCATGGAAAGGAGCGGTACATACTCTTTGGAGTTTTATTCATATCCGGATTTGTGTACTCCACCATGTATTTGGGGTTGCTAAAAAGCATGCTCATATCAGAGGTTTTCGAAAAGCAAATAGAAACATTTGAAGAACTGGCCGAGAGAAATATTCCGCTCCTAATCGATTCCTATGATGGATTTCTATTTAAAAAGCATCACATACCAAAGTCCATTTGGTCTGTGGTAAGAACTGTATCTTCAGAGACTCTACTCAAACATCGGAATAACTTTGACCAGGATTACGCCTATGTGTTGTTTCCAGATCGCTGGGATATGTTTATCCATGCCCAACAGTACTTAAGGCATCCAAAGCTTCGGCGAATACCGATCGACTTTTGTTTTCTTTTTGCCGGATATCCCATGAGCAAAAAGTGGTTCCTCAAACATCATCTAAGTAAGGCTTGGTTCCATGGATTTGAGAGTGGCATAGTGGATAAGATGGCCGAAGATGCGTATCGGGAAGCTGTTTTTCAGGGATATCTAAACATTCCCATCACAGAGCACTTGGAGGCGAAGCCATTGGGCCTAAACTATTTTATAATGCCCACGATTTCTTTGGCTTTGGGCTATTCCTTGGCTTTATCGTGCTTTTGTATCGAGCTTCTGACCTGGAAGATAAGGAACAGGAATTCAAAATGCTAGTAAACCTTTTATTTATTTTATATTTGGGCACTTCCAAAAAAAAGTCCACCAAGCCAAAAACCTTGAAACTTGAATAAAACATATTTCCACATGATTTTGCCCCGATATTAGTTTCTAATTAGTTGGATACTGAGCTTAACTACAAATTTGGAGTATAGTTTGATTATTTTTATGACAAACCCCACCAATATACGCAAAAATCAGTTTTTGGCTATTTTTTTGTTATTTTTTGGACCTGTCTTCTGTTGTAAATTTATCCTATAGGAATGCTAATATGTGACATTTTTCTGTACTGAATGCTTCATTCACATGCTAAACTATTAAGTTAAAAGCAAAACATCCAGCAATTGAGAGATAGAGGTAAAGAAATCCGCTTTACAAAACAGTCGGAAAAAATGTCCCGAGCGACATGTCCCGAGCGAATGTGGTTGAAACTGCATAAAAAAAAAACGGCAAAGAATTTTAGAGTAAAACCAAAAGCATTTCACAGCGACATGTTTGAACAACATTTTAAAAAAATCGCATTAAAATATTCCATCAGAATTCGCTAATTTCTGGTGTTGTATGAACTTCCCCGAAATCCACTTCTATTTTTGTCCCGAGCGAATACGGCAGTCTTTTACCGATATCTTAAAAACTAAAAGTGGTACAAAATCAAGATTTTTACCAAAAATAGAGCCTGGGAAGAGTGAAAAGAAAAGCCCATAATTAAAATAAAAATCCATTGTTTTAAAATTTTTTCCAACTTTAAAGGTGTGTAAATGTCCCGAGCGACATTTTGGAAGTGCCCATTTGCTATTTTAAATGTAGCTTAAATATCTAGATGTTGTGTTAAATTTAGCTTACTATACACCTGTGGGAAAATAAAGATCCCTGAAAAATGAACTCGAAACATTGTTATTCCTTATATACAAAATATTCAAATTAAAAACGGGAAAATACTAATTTCCAGAATATAAAATCTATCCACCAAGGAAAGACAGGTAATCTCTGAGGTCTAATTTTTATGGCAATGCCTATCTGAGCAATTTTCCTCGCAGCTTCGGGCAGTATCCAAAAACCCACCCACAGGCACCCCATAAAACCACGAAATGGAAACCACCCTGTGGCCGGGACGAGACCCCTTCAAAATAAATAGCACTTGAGATATTTCCAAAACATTTGCCAGCCAAGTCTCTAAGCAATTTGCCCAGCCCATTGTATGCAGTCCGAATGATAACAGAAAAATAAGAATCAGGCCGAGAAGTAAGGGGTGACTTGTCCCAAAATGGAGCTGACTTGCACAAATATTGCCGAAAATGGAAATGGAATTTTCGGCCCGCAGAAGAGTGGATAAAATCCCGCCTCCTTGAGTGGGTGGATTTTCTTCGGAGCAAGGCATTTTAAAGTTCGTTGACACTAATGCCTGGCACATTTTTCGTGTGTTTTGTCGCTCCGGCGCCATTAAGTATGCAGCAGCAATGTGGCGACAATAAAGTTTATGCTACGGCGCCATGGCCAAATAAAAAATAGAAAGGAGTTGCAATAGCCAAGGATAAGTATGGATGGCCTGGAATGCACTCAGTGGGAGTTTCTGCTGAAGATAAGTCGGCTGATTTGGGACACCATTTTCAGCTCATCCAAATGATGGGCTATCTGTACACTTAAAGAAAAGAAACCCAAGGCCAAGTATTTATTAGTAATACAGTAATAAGTAGTTACACCCAAAAACTTGATATTAACGATGATAAATTTGATATTATGTAATATCAATTATGACTTTATATGCGGCATCTCAACTTGATATGCTCGAAATGTAGATAACAGACCAGTTCAAATTTCGAATGTGTCTTTCTCCCTCCAACTATCTCATTCTATTTCTTCTCACTCTCTCTTTCAAAGTCAGAGAATATCCGAAAGAGATAGATCAGCAAAATTATATTATTTTATATCAATTTGATACCGGCGTGTTTCTTTTTGTGGGCGAAGGAAAAAAATAAATTTGTGAGTACTGAAACAAATTTAAAATTAAATTTATATTCCATTTTTATTACTAAATAAAAAATACTGCGAAATATAAAAAGGTTTCATGGAAAATTGTATACAAAGTATTTGTAAAATTTCACATCATTGTTTGCTCTGTGTGGCACAGTTTCCAGACAATGGAGTTGCCAACCAGTTTTTATTCCCGTTTGTAGGACTCCTCTTAATGAGTGGGAGGGTCATGTGCGTGCCTCGCATCCATATCGCGAAAATCAACGATAAAGTCTCGCCCTTCAGCCGCTTTAATTGCCCAATTCGTGTGTTTTCAACGCGCTTCGAATCGAATCGAACTGAATCGATTTCGTGATTGTTCCGATCCGTATCGGCTTTAAAGTAAACATTTGTTTTAATCTGGGGGCGGCTTTTAATTAAGATTGCGTACGGCGATAAATGGCAAGTGTTGCAGGAGTCCCCTGAATTTACCTTTCAATTGAGGGTAAATAAAGGAAATTCACGGCTTACCCAACTTTTACTTTGTATTTAATTTTTGCGTGACTTTATGTCGTTAAAAACATGTTTATTTTATTTCTTAAATTTTTAAAACCAACGCAAATAGCGTTGTTTTTAGTAACTAAATATATAATATATATTTATTCAAATTAGTTTTTTTTCAAATTTAGTAGACCGATATTAAAATAAAAATACTGATTATTTAGGTCCGTTTTAACATGCTTTTTTTATTTCTTAATATTATTTAAAAAAAGAATTTGTTGGTATTTATATAATATTTGTCGTATTTAACTTATTATATGGTTTTAAATTTAGATTTCTTATTTTTATTAACGATTAAGGCTTTTTTTATCATATAATAATATTTCCATTTTACTTTAGAAAAGCTTTAATTTGTGACACTCTATATTACGTTTTAAAAAACATTACCTAGTATATCATATCCTTTTTTTATTCCAATCTACTTTTTCCGCCATTTCTGGTATTAACTTTAATCCCGGTAGCACAGTATCACTTCCTTTCACCTGTTACCACACTTTTTCGAACGACAATTTCAATGCGTCTGCTCCTGATCCGTCAACTCTTTTATCAGCCAGACAGGGCGACACCGTAAATCAACTGGGAAGCAGACAAAAGGCCCTCGACAACAATTGAGAGCTTGGACTGGTCCGGCATTGATATCAATTGATTGACTCGCTGGATTCTGTCCCACCTATTGTTTTTTTTTGCCAGCTAATTGAAATGGCCAAGTTATTGTAGCTGGCTTTTTAAGCCTCTGCCATTTTCAGGGGTTGGTTGCTAAGTTAAACACTATTATTTAAATCAATGCCGCGCTTCCTTTTTTTCGCCGCATCGCCACATATGAGATGGCAATTTATGGGCCATGCCTAATTGTCCGTGCCGAACTTCAAAGTGGCCTCGCTCCTCGATCTTGGCCAAGTCCGTGGAATGCAATTATCGCGCTCCAAGTTATGCTAAGATAAATGGCCCCAAGTCCGGCACAGTCGGTGGAAATTGGCAACACTTTCCAGTCGTCTTTCCTTTAGCGGTCATAAACTAAACAAAACGAACGAGAAAAATATGAAAAAATTTGTGTGCTCGTCGGAGGCAACAAAAAAAGAAGCGATAAACCGCACACGCAACTGACAATTGGCAATTTTTGGTTGATTCAGCAATTTATGGCAGCAAAGGGGGCGGAGGTGTGTCCATGTCGTCGGCATGACCAAAAGACCCATATAATAATCAGGGGCACAAACTTGGAAAGAGGGACTTGTGAGAAAAGGACTTTTAATTTTTTTTTTAAATGTTTGTCTTTGATTTTTGAATGCATACTTTTATGTAAATTAAGGAAAACTTTAAAATAAATATTTAGGTAAAATTATTTAAGTTATTATTTTAGAAATCATAATGTTTTAAATTTTATAACTTCCATTATAATAAAATGTTGCATAAAATTCTTTGATATTTTTAAAATTTAAAATTTAAATTAACATTCTGTTATTTGATATTTGCATTATGTCATTTTACCTTGAAAAGAAGGAACCTCTTGAGGGATTATTAATTGGTAAATGTATCAAAATGAAATCCCTTGTACAATTATTTTAATTTGCCCGGGAGAATGCTTCATCATCCTGTTTCTTTTTATCCCCCAATCAACTCCTTATATTTCCAGGAAAAAGCTTCCTGCCAGTAATCAAATAAAGATCTTTGGACATCCCCTGGAGCCTTTGATGGCACTTTCGCTGGATGCCATTTGGCCGTGTCTTTGGGTCAGTCAGATGCTAAAAATACAGAGTGAGTAAAGGATGAAAACCGACCAAGGCAAACGAACAGCCGCGAAATGAAACGCTGTCCAATTAAGCGCAACAAACAGTTTTACGCCACATGCCACACAACAGGCGTTTATCGGGCAGCCAGATCAGATCCCAAGCGATCGATTGGATCCTTGGTTCCGTGGCCACATCCCGATCCTTCTCCCCAGTTCCGTCACCCATGCCATTGTAATGGCCAACGATTTGTCGCTGTCCGAGCCTCAGACCCTGGGCCATAATGACAATCGTTGATCGTGAGGCAGCGATAAGATTGCACAAAGATAAAGCGCCGATATCGGAACCCGAGGGTTTCCAAAAGAGAAAAAGCGGCGATGGGCGGAGGCGACAGCAGCAGCATTTATGCTAATAAGTTGACATTTGACCACCATGACGAAATAATGAAACGATCAGGAGCCGTCAACGTGACAGGTACTTCAAAAAAAAATTACCATGGGCTAAACTTCGAAAACGAAGAGAACAATAAATATAACCATAAGATATTGTATTCAGAATTAATTAAATTAAAAATTTATATATTTTTATAAGTCAAATAAACCCAGTACTTAGAACTAAATAGTTTTGTTGTTTCCTAAAATATGTGTTGAATGCACCATCTACAAATGTCACAATGTGCAACAGTGTTTGCTTAAATTCCAAATGTTTATCTTTTTTATTAAACAAAATTTGTTTTAGAACTTGTTAATATTGAAACCTGATTACACCCATTGTGCATATAAAGCGATTTGCCCGGCAATCCTGACATTTGTTTTGACACAGGAGCATACCCGCCGGCACCGCTTGCCATGATGATCACTAATTTCCTGGAATTTCGCGCGCTCTCCTCGCTTATCGAGATGCAAATTTTTGCCGACTTTTATTGTATCTTCACACGATCTGAGCCGACTGCTTGTTAACTACCATTATGTGGTTTTAACTTGATCGTGTTGCAAATGAATTTTAATTGTTGTACTTGGTGTTGCAGTTAATTAGCAATAATTTACAATTTGCCCAAGGTGCCATTGGAAATTTATTACAATCTAGTTTAGGGATTTTCTACAAAGTAAAATTGTTAAATGGAACTATGAAGAAGAAGCTAGCCTTCATCGTTGTAGCTGCGTCTGCTGTATCTTCTCGAATCGTCCCGTTGATAATTTTGATAATGGTTGTGTTGATAGCCTCTCGTTTTTTGCTGATAGCCGCCTCCTGATCTGTTGCTTTGAAACCGGTCTTGGCGATGCTCTCGATCCTGTCGATAGTTGCGTGAATAAGACCAGCCACCCTCATGGCTATCGTCCTCTCTAGGATAATTTCTTCCCGAGTTCCGCCAATCTGCGCTGCGATCTCTGCTGTTTTTATAGAAGCTCTGATGATTCCAGCGATTATCTCTTGAATGGTAGCGGTCCGTCGAATAAGATCTCGAACTTTCGCTCCGCCAGTCACTTTTGTCAGCATGTCCGTAGTTCTGGTGGTCTGAAATTCAAGCATATCAAGCATTTGTATTGCGCTAGGGCTAGTCCTTAAATTCTATTATTTGTTAAAAAAGTTGTTAATAAATCTAGAAATCGGAGTCCATTTGTTAAATTTAAATTAATTATTAATTAGATAAATCGTCGATAAATTGCAAATTTTAATTAATTAATTTTTACTTTACTAAAAATTGAATCAATTGTCAAAATATTAAATTAAACTGTTAGTATACGTACTGTAGCTAGATTTTTGATAATAGCTTCCTCCTCTTTGGTAATGCCCATCTTGCCGGCGGTAATCTTCATATTTCTTACTGTAGTGGTGCCTACTGTTAGACTCATAGTCCTTGTAATCTTCCGTTACCCCTACACTTGATTCTTTTGATGCTGAACGCTCCTTGTTCGTACGTCGATTCGGAAGTGTCTTCAAGGAGTTCAAGTAATTCTGTCGCTCGATTTCATGTCCTCGGGCAGCAGAAAAGACTGCGGATCATATATTATTATGAATGATTAAACTGTATATGTAGGATGAAGATCAAGTCCAGGACCCTACGCACTCTTTATCGCCTCATCGGGGGATTTCTTCATAACGGAGATCATAAAGTAGCAGATCAGGTATCCAGTTCGATTTACTCCGTGCGTGCAGTGGACTCCAATTAGTTTATCTTAAATAGGGAAAAGGGAATTTGAAATAATAAGTAAGGACATTTTTTTAAACATTTTCTTAAGCAATTAAAATTAAACTTAAATAAATCCTAATACTTTAGTTACGTAACTCAATACTTCGAGACTTGAAAAATGTCTAACCAATTTTGGTGATATTTTTTCCCTGTTTAGATGCAGTGCCACAGCCTTTTTGCTTTGCCGCATGTAGCTGCAAATTGCTACAAATTTCATTGCAAACACGGCCACAGGAATGTCCCTCTCCCCAGCCCCAAACCCTCCAAGTCCCGCTCCATACCCATTTGGTAACACCCACGCGGCGAGACCGCAACAGAAAAAACCGGCCTGGCAATTTGGCATAAAAGCAGAAGCGACCTGAGCTAAATCTAGAAAACAGCGCGCTCTGCCAATAATAACATTGGCTATAAATTTCACAAAAACATGTCAGCAGGAGGGATTCGCGAGGGGTTTCCCGGGGGGGGCATGGACAACCCACCAGGTCGCGGTGGCCTGCCTTTGTGCACTATGCGGGTGCTTCGGGTTTTGGCCTGGCTTTGGCCTGGTTGCTGGATTCCCTGGTCATTGGCAGCGGGCGAAGCTGCCAGTCAGTCAGTACGTCATGTTTGGCTTGCATTTAAGCCAACTTACAGGCAAAACGAATAACGAAATTAAATTACGAGAACGCGCGGCGCATCCTTGTCAATATGCCAGGAACAGTGGGTATAGTTTAATATATTTAGGAAAAATTATATGGTTGAAAAATAAAAAACAAATTCAACTGTTGACTCCAAACAAATTTAGGCAGCCTTTGAAATAGAAAAATACTTTTTGGAAACCTTATAATCTAAGAACATCTAAGAATAAAAGTCTTTAAAATAAATTTAAATTAAAACTAATTTTGGGCAAAACTTATTTATGAAATAAGTTTTTTGTTTAAATATTTTTAAATTTGTGGGAAATGTTATTACTGGACATTGGATTTTAGGTGAAATCGTTTCTTTTTTTAATCCAATCTTTAAGCCACGTTTGATTTTGTACAATTTTTTTGCATTAAATCAAAATTAGATTTAAACTCAACTTAATACTGGTTTTTTTGTAAAAAAAATTTTAAACCAATTTAATGTGACTTAAAATCGTATTATTAAGCAAGATGCGAATTAAAATGACTTTAAAATCTTTACCACTGTGCTGAGACAACGGCTGTGCCTTGTTTTCGAGCCTCTACTGCCTCATTGGCCGTTGACAAGTTTCGACCACCTCGGATTTGACTTATTTTCGTGATTTGTTTCGTTGTAAATATGTTGGCAGCCTTCGTGTATTTATTTATTGTTTGCTCTACGCGACTATCCGCGGCGCCAGATCTTGTTTTAATTAAGCACTAAGACGACATCAGAATCAGCCAAGGCATTCTTGCAGTCATTTTTGCATATTGTAAGCCAAATCTGTTCGCACATACATTAGCGCCAGATGAAAGGGCCTGCGAAGCATTAGGCGCACCATCGCCCACTTTTTTTACAAAATCGAGTAAATGATTGAAGTTTGAATACTCTAAATGTGATACCCTAAGGTAAAGCCAGTAATGTAACAGATATACGACTTTTAAATTAAAGCAAAAGGGCAAAACTCGTAGAGAAGATTCCAAAAGTAAGTTTTTCAAAATTTTAGGGTATTCTGTACTGTAATAAAATTGTAAGGTATGTGTTTAAATTTTTCAGCTATTAAAATAATTTAAAATTCAACCATTCAACGAATTAACTTTTATGAAAGTCGATTATTAACAGAACATTTGATTTTTCCCATTTTTTTTTGTACTGTCTACATGTACTCGTCATTAAATTTAAAAAATATAAATGAAAAGCGGCCTGCGGATGGCTTCGCATGCCTTTGTGCATAATTGGAAATACCTTTTCCCCACTCGCGCATGACTAAGCTCCGTGCTCAGTAAGTGATTTGTTTGCCCGGCTCCCGACTGGCAGACAGCCTCAACCTCGGGCTCTCCTCAAAGGCCAAAAAACTGACTGGCGGACTGACTGATTGAGTGTGTGCGCGCCCACACCTGTGCGCCAGTTGGCTGCTAAAGGGTTAAATAGAGTATTTCTCTTGCCTGGCACTTGGCTGCGCGCACATTTCACCGCTTTGAGCCATGTTTGCTGTGCGCTTGCCGGCTGATAGGAATCTCTGGAGGCAGTGCAGCCAGGGATTAGGATACGTGGTAATTGCGGGTGCCCCCTTTGATACGATTTGTTTGCATATTTTGCGGCTCTAATTGTGCAGGACAGATATGCATCTGAATCTGCATTGTTGACGGGAAAGCGTTTCCCACGGCAGCATGGCCCAAAGATCAAGATGTGTGGGATGATTTGTCAGCACTCACCATTATCCGCATTGCTCTCAAGGAAGTCGGCCACAAAACCACAAAATCTGTAATGATATGAGAGGGATATTGATCAGTTGAAATGTGTACAATAATCTTTCAGATCTAAACCAAAATTCGTTCTTAGCAAATGTGGGCTTGAAGTAGCTCTTCCTTTTAAGTAACACCAGTAAAAATTTCTCTGACTTTAATTAGATAGTTTTTCATAAAATATGCATGAAATATAACCTTTAGTACACAAACTTTTTGAATTATTAACATGGAATATAATAATAGAATAATATAATATAATAATATAATATACTAATATAATAAAATTTGTTAAAACATAATAACATAATATTCAATAGTTATTTTTTTTAATTCTATGTCAAAACTTAGATGTTTAATGGAAACAATTACTTGAAAATATAGCAAAATTAATATTAACTAAGATTAAATTTTGTTCCACCAATATTGAGATAAATTTTGATATTTCCAAATAAAATATTTCTGTAGTTATAGTTACTTTTCGGAGAGCTGTCGTGGCGGCGTCTGTTTCCCGGGGATCATCAGCTTCTGGTGACGCACATCGTGGCTGGTCAGGGCACTTGGATGGTAGTAGCGGTTCGTGTTGGTCAGATCGATTATGAGGCCCAGATCGGGGACAGATTCCAGCAGGGATTCGGGCGCCAGGCGGAGATTCTCCTCCACTCTGGCGTTGACATGCTGCAAAAAAAAACAGGGGAACAGAGCAAATACACGAGGCGCATTACAATGGGCGGCTGAAAATTGCTCAATTTATGCAAAGTGCCCAGAGGGCAGGCAATTAATAAGGGCCGAGGATCCGTGGCGTTATTTAATTAAGCAAAAACAATTTAATTTAATATTCATGTGGGGTCCATGTTCCAGTTGCCACTTTTATGCATAATTACAATGCACAAATTTCGTCGTCGTCCGTTGTTATTTATACTTTTAGAGGGCCACGCAAAGTCGGTGGTCCTGGGTCTTACACATCCATCAATTGGCCCTCCTGTCAACCGGTTTCATTGAGCTCCCATCTCCGATCTGATATTTGTTTTGGATGCTGGGGGGTATTTTAAACTCACCTGATGCAGCGGCACCTTGAATGCTATAAAGCGAGTACCCGGAACACGCTCTCCAATGGGTTTGTAATTCAACCATCTGTAATTGCCGAAACAAAACATAAATAAACCGAAAAACAAGGGGGATTTCTTGGGATATCTACCATCCTGTATCCCCGAACTATACTCACCGATCTGGTATGGCTTTGGCCATTATAGAGTCTGTTTTCCAAACGTTATTACCTAACTTATAAACGGAAATTTTAGAATTTCGTTCAAAAATCGTCTAAAATGTGTTGTAATAAAAAATGCTTGTTTCGAGAGTTGCCAGATCCCGCGAAGGTAACATATGCTGTAGAGATGACACTGTTAGCGAAACCGTGACTTGTCACCGTTATTTTTAAAAAGCAGTTAAGGAATAATGTGTTTATTAATAAGTCAAATGTTTAGTCAAACTCTCGCTTTGTCGAGTAAAGTGTATTTTATTTATACCGTCTCCAAAAGTACAGTTTACAATTTTGCGAAAAATATCTATTAAGAAATGAAAATGTATTTTTAATCGGGAAAAAAGAAATCTATATGTTTGTAATAACTACTTTTCTAAGTTCTTTGTTCTTCACTTAAAATGTAATTTTTAGATTTGGATTTTTGTTTGGTTTGTCTTATGATGGTTTTAGATTTATTTACATCTTTAAACTAAAATAATTTTGGTCTAATCATCATTTCAACATAGATAAACGAGATCGTGTTATTGTTGCGATAGTGATACCAATTTATTCCTGATTCGCTTGGTGAAATTCCATCCTTATAAAATTTTCCAGTAAGAGGGCTGTAATTTATATTTAAATTTATTTAAACATTTTTATTTTTATTGCTTATACACACCCGTAACTACAATTGTCGTACCACCAACCACCGCCAGAGCGAATTTGAGCACAATTTTCCGAAGATCTACCGTCATTATCTCGATCAATTGTGGTAAAGTGTTTGTCCTTACTGTAGGTTAGGGAATCTCCTGCGTTACCAGAGTATGTCCCAACCGAATCAAGTTTATATAAACTTTCCTCGTTGCTAACTTGGAAGTTATCATAGCGAGCGTACCCAACATCTCCATTTACATCCATAATCTTGATGTAGAGTTCGTGAGGCTTTCTCTTAGTCAAATGGTGTAGTTTCTCCAGCCCAATAAAAAATTCGCCTGTTAAGTTGCCAAAGCCATCCT